CATCCATTGACAAAAAGTTAGAAAGCCTACCCGCTCTTGAAAATGAGATATCATTGTGCATGAGGGAAATCACATCATTAAGAAATCTCGTATCTGCACTAGAGATGAAAATAGACGATTTAGAAAATCGGTCTAGAAGAAATAACCTCATTATACATGGTATCCCCAAAGAAAAAAATGAAGACTTGAGTTCGCTTGATACCATTGTTAACAGGGAAAATAATAAGTGACATCCTAAAAACAGAACCTGTCCCTATAGAAAGAATTCATAGATTAGGCAAACCAGCTACAAAGAAGGTTAGACCTGTTATACTCAAGCTGCTTGATCACAGAGACAAAAACAGAGTGCTTAAAAACTGCTTCAAATTAAAAGGCTCTAGCTTTGCCATCAGCGAAGACTTCTCAAGTCGAGTTCGTGATGTAAGAAGGAAATTATGGAACTGTGCAAAGAAATTCAAACATGCGGGAGATAAAGTCATAATGAACTACGACAAACTGCGCATAAACGGAGAACTGTTTACTTGGGACAGCGAAAAATATGACATCGCTCCTGCGATATCTAGCTATAATGCCGATGATCGGCCAAAAAACAGTCAAGACGATGCACGGACATTGTGCCTGCGCCGCCAAAATACGAATCAGAAATAACGTTTTTAAACATCAATGCGCGTAGCATATTAAACAAAAAAGACTGCCTGGAAGATCTGCTCATTTCGCTAGAACCAGAATTCGTAGGTATCACTGAATCATGGCTATCCCCTGATATCCTAGATGTGGAAGTAACTCCTCCAAATTACGTGATTCTACGCAAGGATAGAGAGACGCGCGAGGGTGGAGTTGCATTACTAATAAGCAAAAAATTAAATTTTACGCCACTATCTCATGTTGAAGGAGTAGAGGCAATATTCTGCAAGCTTTTACTCAGCTGCTATTCAATAATTGTCGGTTGTGTTTATCGAAGTCCCGCTGCTGATACTGACACCATGCTTTTGTTGTACAAATACTTGCATAATCACCTTCGACAAAGCCGAGTAATCCTTCTCGGGGATTTCAATCTACCTGATATCAACTAGCTAACAATGGCGCACCATTCCGCCCATTCAGATGTTATTTTAGATATTATGTTAGACTTCAACTTACACCAAACAGTTAATATGCCTACTCGCAATCATGGGTTAGGTGGGAACATACTAGATCTGATTTTCTTGAGCATTCACTTTCCCTTGGAAGAAATAATAATAGAGGTAACAGACGGAATATCGGACCACAAGATGGTGGTGTGTAGTATACCAGTCAACAACAAAGGCTCCAAATCGGTGCTTAGATCCTTTCCTGACTTTCACAATGCTGACGATACTAGCATTATCGACCACCTTTCACACGAACTATCATCCTTCACCGAAATTTCCTGCCAGGCTTCAACTGATATTGAAATATTATGGCATACGTTCAAAGATATTGTCTCACATTGCATTCAAAAGTTTGTACTTTTAAAAGCACAAAAGATAAAAAACATAACCCATGGATCACGCGTGACGTCATTCATGCAAAATGAAAAGTGAAGCGACTAAGAAAATCACTTAAAAAAAAGTTTACTACGTCAACAAAAAACAACCTTGACGATGCCATCATTAGGCTAAAAGTAACTTTAAAGGCCGCAAGAGAAAATTTCTTTAGTTACAAACTGAATAACTTCATAAAAACATCACCTACGAAATTCTGGAACTACCTCAACCCCAAGTCATCCGATGAAAAAACAGCTTCCCCCAGCGAAAGCCTAGCTACTGCGAACGCTCTTAATAATTATTTTCAATCAGTCTTCTCACGCGATGATAACAGTACACCTCATATGGAGGCATGTGCTAAGAGACATATAGAACCTATTACAATCACTGAGTCAGGCATCCTAAATCTTTTGCTTAATTTAGATGCCAAGAAAGGCTCTGGGCCTGATAATATTCCCAACACATTTCTGAAGAAGTACGCAGAATGGGTCGCAAAGTATTTATGTTTAATCTTTGACAAATCGCTAACAACTGGTAGGCTTCCAAAAGAATGGAAGACCGCTCGAATCACTCCTGTACACAAATCCGGAAACAGGCATGACCCAGCTAATTTCAGGCCTATCTCAATAACATGCGCAGCATCTAAAATACTCGAACACGTTATTCTCAAACACATAACATCGTTCCTTGACGCTTAGTCTATCCTAACCCCCTTCCAACATGGCTTTCGCCGTGGATTGTCTACGGTGACACAACTTTTGGAACTTGTTCACGACCTGTCCCTGGGGATCGATTTCAGAAAACAAATTGACCTTATACTACTGGATTTTTCAAAGGCCTTCGACCGAGTGACTCATCAGAAACTAATTTATAAGCTTAAGTTAACGCAAGGTAACGACCCCATAATTAATTGGATAAGTGATTATTTAAGAGATCGTTTACAGTTTGTTGAAATTGACGGCCAGTCGTCTGATACTGCCCAAGTGATATCCGGTGTACCACAGGGTTGTGTCTTGGCTCCGGTTCTTTTTTTAATATTCATCAATGACCTACCTGCTAAAATACATGTCAACATCAGACTGTTCGCAGATAACTGCATTATCTATAATATAATCAACACGCATGAAGATCATGTAGCCCTTGACCGCGCTTTACAAACAGTAACGAAATGGTGCTCCGATTGGCAAATGACGTTAAAGGCAAAAAAATCAACCTACTCATAATGTCGAGAAAAAGGAATAAATCATTATTTCCATATAAAATTAATGACACGGAATTAAGCGTCATTACTGGACATAAATACTTGGGATTAACAATAACTGAGGACCTTAGATGGAGTAGTCATATAAGCCACATAACAGCGACCCCGCTCAAACGACTCTTTTTCATCAGACGCCGCCTCCGTTTAGCCCCCATAGATACCAAACTGTTCGGCTTATAATACATTTGTCCGACCGATACTAGAGTACGGAAACATAGTATGGTTTCCTTTTACTAAACAAGACATCGCTAAACTTGAAGGTGTACAAAAAAAGGCGATACGGTTCATTTTCAACAAATATGGGCCTCATGAATCACCTACGGTGTTAATGGAAACTGCTGGTATAGATACTCTACAGCGCCGAGCTAGAATAGCTAGACTGTAACTTATGTACTTAATAGTTCATAACAAAGTAAATACTGATGGCACAATCTTCATAACAAGTTTACAAACACGCCCTACCAGACATAAACATACGCAGATGCTCACTGAATACACCTTTCCATACCTACTGTTTCAAAAATTCATTTTTTCCATTGACCATAAGAGAATGGAATAACCTTCCCTTACATATCATAGAAAGCACATCACTAACACAGTTCTTAACTGCACTTGAAAGCGTACCTTGAACCCTGACAGACAGTTTTTTTTTATTGACGTATGAAACCACCTGTCACAGTTCTTCATGCATTGTCTCTCTTACTTTTTTCTTTTCAAATACCAGAAACCCCACAGTATGCATTTGTCAGCCTCGCTCTAAAGCACCACTGTGTAAAAATGCTTACACCATAGTCTCACAATGCTTTTTTTCTTTTTCTCCTTTTTTTTTCTTCCCTTGCCTACGCTTCTTTTATGCGAGCCTGTTTTCTTTATGTTATTGTGCCACTAATCGCTCTTGTGTTGCACTTTTTTATAATTAGTTGGTGTTTCCATTGTATCACAATTTGTGTGTTGTATTTAACTATTGTATATGCCCTCCTGCTATGATCCCTTTGGGATTGGCTGTATTTACAAATAAATAAATAAATAACCAATAGGTCTTTTTCGTTTGGCCTCCTGCTGTTTTCTATGTGTTTACCCAACCATTTTCTGGTTCGCTTCCTCCATTTTGTATCGACATTCTTCATGTACAGGTAGCTGAATATCTTCCTAGTCCAACGCTCTTTTCCCATTTCTCTCAATCGCTTCTCAAGTTTTATCTTGCTGCTAGCTTCTCTGCCCGCAAATGATGTTCATCCCACATCACCTTGTACTCCCTGATTTGGTGTATTCCCGTGAGCTGCTAAGGCATGCCTACTTATTCCACGTTGCTTAATTTCTAATCTTGCTTGAACTTCTAATCTCATGCACAAGACCGCATTGCCGAACGTCAGACCAAGAACCATGACACCTTTCCATATTCCTCTCACAACATCGAACCTATTGTAATTCCACAGTGCCCTGTTTTTCATCACCGCTGCATTCCCGTTACCTTTAGTCGTCACGTATATTTCGTGTTCCCTCGGGTACTCGGTCCCATTGCTTATCCATATGCCCAGATATTTGTATTTATCTGTTATCTCTAGCGTGACCTCCTGTATCCTAAGCTCACTACCTTCGTTGTCATTGAAAATCATGACAGCTGATTTTTCCTTACTGAATTTAAAATCTAACCTATCTCCCTCATTACCGCAGATGTCCATCAATCTCTGCAAATCTTCCTTGTTGTTGGCCATTAGCACTATATCATCCGCGTACATTAATGCTGGTAGTGCCTGATCAATGAGTTTTCTTTGTTTGACTAAAGAGAGGTTGAAGCCAAGTCCACTTCCCTCTAATTTGGCCTCTAATCCTTGTAGGTACATCATGAATAACAAGGGTGACAGTGGACACCCCTGCCTAAGTCCCCGTTTCACCTCTGTCCGTGCCACGTGGTTGTCGACGACCCATGGCGATGTGATGGCTGTCCTCGTTGATAGTCGCATTCCTATGTGGCTTGGCGCTGATAATCGTCGGAAGTGCCCCTGTTCCACCGGCCGCTGGCCCTACTTTAGCAAGAATTCTGATAGAAAAACTGATAGGCTATCAGGTTATTAACAGATGTATCAGTCTATGAGTGTACCAGTCTATCAGTGTACCAGTACTCGTGTGCCAGCCTATAAGTGTAGCATTCTACTCTGATAGGCCCACAAGCGAATCGGTGCTTAGCCAACTGGCAGGTGCACCGCTACATCAGAGCAAGCAGGACACAAATATGAACACAGAAATCAAACAAAATATTTTATTTGATGTGCCATTCCTTGGTTAATCTTTTGATTTCATAAAGTCATTAATTTTGTTTGCCAACGCTTTATTGAGGAGCTTCTTCATTTGCTCAACCTCTCCAATCAGAACGGTGTGCTTCAAAAAAATAGTTGAAGAAAACGAAGCAAGTTACAGGCACTTATTAAGCGACAATTATGTGCACTCTAAATAGAGGAGTCAATATGACAAGGAAATAAGTAGAAGTTCTACCAGTCTGCCTCTCTAATATTGTTTAAAATTAAATTGTGGATTCTTGCATAAAAGTACCCAGCTCCAGTAGGCAAAAACTACACTTGAAGCTTTAGTAAGTAATTATAACACAAGTTGGCAGTGAAACCTCGGCTGATTACGTGCAAAAATGGAGCCACCAACTTCCATGAATTTTGGTCAGATTGCAAAATTTCACCTACCTGAAAACACAACATATGTTTCTTTCTCCTAGGGAGATTTCTCCTCCCCTTTAGACCGATTGGAGGCTGCGCCAGTAACACTTCTACCGACTTGGCCTGCTGTATAAAAAATGGTAACGGCCGCCTCACGAACAAAACGGGTCTGTCTTTTCAAGCCCATGGGGTGATTGTACAACCTCTTGGAAACGGCAATTCCTTTGCTCCGATGCACCTATAAAACAAGTCAAAGATGATGTGCACACATTAGTTTGTTAATGCACATTTTCTCATTAAAGCAAAGCAATATATCTTCAAGACAAAGCATACTAGAGTTTTATGATACCTCTCTGTCAGTGGGCACATAATTGATAAGCAGTGCAGCCTCCCTCACACATGAGTGGGCTACTTCAGGGCAGTCCGTGGTCGCTGTGGTCGTTCCAGCGTGGCAACACATAGTGGTGGCAAAGGTGCAAGTCGTTTCTGTTTTTGAGGCTTGCGGCTGCAACGCCCGCAAAGGATAAGGTTCTTTGCTGCAATGAAAAAGTAGAGTGTGCAGAAATAAAGTATATTGCACCCTTAATTGTCACGATAGCATCCTAGGTGTGCATGGTCAAATAACATATATGATAAACATAGCATGCAGTTGAGATATGCAATTAAAGTGTAATGATACGTTGCATGTCACGTCTCAAAACCATGGTGTGATTATAGGGGATGCCGTAGTGGAGGGCTCAAGAAATTTTGACCAAGTGGTGTTCTTTTTAATATCCACCACACTGTGAAAGTTGTAAACGCACATTCTCAAGTGATTAGAAAAACATGCATGCCTCCATGCCACCCATGAGCTTACATTGCATTCTGCTTTTCAGCAAAATTTCACGCTATAAGAATAGGGCAACTTGCTGCTGCATACAACCCTAGCAGCAGTGCGTTACAACAGCTTATGAAGAAATGATAAACCTGTTTGGAAATTTTTGCTGCGAAGGGCATTTTCCAGTAGGCTTATTCTTTCTAATGCTTTTGTATTTTGAGCCCTGAGCATATATATTCACTTCTTTCAGAAGCTCTTTCTCTGTTCTTTTTTTCAGCATTAGCAAACAGCAGGCCTACCTGCTGCTTCTTAAAACGGTTGCTGACGTGCCTTGTCTTCTGCTTAACAGCAGCTTGACGTCATGTTTCTTACAACTGCAGACAACCCAACACACAAATTTCACTGCTAGTTCGCAAGCACAAACAGGGCGTATATCCACACAAGCAAAAATAATTTTAAACCAGACAATTGTACAAAAAAAATGTGAATAAGCAGCGCTCATACCACGATAGAATAAAATAAAATAGCTCTTCAGCATACTGCAACTTTACTAACACCTTCAATACGACGTTCCGGCGCCGCGCAGTAGTGGAGCAGCGATGCTCTTATATATTCACTAAGATGGCGGGGAGTATATCAGAGCATTGGTGCTTCATGTGTGACACGGCACCACGTGCAGAGCAAAATTGGCTGTCGACTGTAATTGCACCGCAGTAGCACATCAGCCGCAATGTCAACGATAGCCAAACTTGGCCGTCGGTAATAATTACGCTGCAAGTAGCATATCAGCTGCAGTGTGACCAATTGCAACTTACTTTTTTAAACGACTCATTGTCCACATCATTTGAACTGCAGCTATCGGAGGAGTCGCAATCGGGTCTGCGGTATGGATGGTCGTTTTTCTGTTGCATTCCTTGCATCATCCTCGGTGCCTAAGAAAATATGACCAGTAAATAACTTCAGAACGACTGCTTCTCCCTCTTTGATTTTCGTATTGAGAATACAAGAGGCGCGGACTTACCGTAAAGCTTAATCACTTGAGCGTGATAGTGGCCGCAGTGTGTGTTATCCTTCCAGAACACCCGGTACCACTTGTGAGGATCAAAATTGGCTGTATCCTTCGTATTGATGTACTTACATGCACTTACCGGGACTATTAATTTTTAATTATCATCGCCAAATCAAACATCTTGGAGAATTGTGAGTGTACAGGCGCGATACTGAGCAATTAAGAGACGCAACAATGTTCACATGCACTACACACGCACCTAGGCCGCCACGAACTTGCTATTGATGACGATGGCAGTGCCATTTGTGGATCTCCCAAGTAGTTTATGCAACCACGAGTCCACGACTTCTTCCTCAACACAACGCAACTTAGTTTTTGAAAGCAAAAATATTTATTTGCAAAGCATTTACTTCATGTTTTTACAACCTTAGAGGGTAGTTTTTTAGAGCTTACAGCAAATAATATATAAACAATGATTGCAATTACTGTGAAACGGTGACGTTGTGCATAGCCTTCGAGATGGCAAACCCGCAATGACGGGCGCGCAGCGGCAATTTCAGAGGTCATGCGCTGTGTCGCCATATTCGCGTTGGTTAGGCTAGGTGGCGTTAGCCGCCGCTCAATTTCAAGGGTACGGCCATATCAATCCATTCATCCATTTACCTATCACATTAATATGGCTACAATCATCTAGCCTTAATGGCAATTAGCGACCACCATGGCGACGCCGCGACGACCACCTTCCTCCGTGGCGACCACAGTACTATACTCCTTCACCACGCGAGGGGTTCTGTAGAGTCACTATCTCGCGCCGTGGTCTCGCGGCACATGTTATAGTTTTCGGCAAAATCCGCGCCGTGTGCTTAACATTCAAGGCACAGCAAGCAGGTTGTGAATGTGAAGCCTTGGTCGATGTAATCGATCTTTACCCGTTCACTTATTATCAGTCCCGCAGCCTCACTTTGCGTGGACACCATCAAGCGCGCTATTTGAAGTTTGTGTCAAGTTCGACGAGAGATGGATTCAACTCAACCCCAGCCTCGATCAAAAAGAAGAAAAAAAAAAACGCTATTTGGAGCCTGGATCGCAATATGTAGTACCTTGGACAAGGAGTGGTGGAGGCGCAGTCGGCCAACCAGCTACACTCAGCTAGAGCATTCCTCAGTCTTTAGCTGATAATTGATGTGGAGTAGCGGCCTTCGACACGTGAAGTCTGAGTGATGCGTATGGTGACAGCAATGAAAATCCTGATCCCGACGACACTTACGGCTTCGAGGAAAACTCGCTCAACGATTCCGACCGGACGGCAGATGCGGCTCGCGACAATGTTGGCATGAGCGACACTTTTTAAATGCAACAATGGCATGTATTTTACACTGGTGCATGTCAATAAACTGCCAGGCTCTGTGTGTGTGCTCATGTGTGTGAGGCTTACATCAAAACTATTCAACAACCCATCTCACATTGGTATTTGCTCAGAAACAGAGAAAAAAAGTTGTGCTTGAAGGATGTGGCCAGTGTGTTTGCACATGAAAGTTGTATGTGTTTGCTATGTTGCTGATGTACCAAACTTGTTTAAAACTTGTGACATATATAGCCATGTTGCTGATGTACCAAAGTTGTTTAAAACTTGTGACATATATAGCCAGTCTGATATGAGTTTAGCAAGGTAGGACAACTAAATGTTGGCTCGATCCTTTCTATTGTTGTCCTCTTCACAACTGAACTTTTCTCATGGTAGGCAGTTTTGTGTCTGTGTGTGTGTTTTGCAGTCAAATGCTTTAGCCTTAATTAGTACATGGTTTTTGATTTATCAATCTTGTGAGGATTACAGGCAAGTAATATAGCAGGTCTGTGCCACCGCATGGGCTTTATGAAAAGACACACCTGTGAATAACAGATGCTGCTATCAACATATCAGCCAAATCTTGCAGCTGCAAGTGACTTTTTTCATATAGATGACTGTGCTCACTTCGAATTTTCGGATGCCTGTATGTGGTGTAAAACAACTGAAAGCATGCTATTGGCCTATAGCCAAAATAAATCAAGAGCAGCGTTTTAATCAAATGTGCTTCTAGCCACAGTGTGCTGCCACATGCTGGCACTGCTGTCCAAAATCTTCTAACATTGCTTAGTCACACTCGCACATGGGAATAGCAACACGAAAAAGCTACTGTGTTTCTTCAAGCATGCTCTAGCTCACAATGTGTGCTTACATATCGCACTTCTTTACTGCCATTCCTTCCTGTAGTTTTCGAGCAGCTTGTTGGGACCGACGAGAAAAAAAAGAAAGCGGTTGAAGTGCGCAATAAACCCCTCAACTTGCTTTGAAATATTTCTGGCAGTGGGTTTGCGAGGCATTAAGTTTTGATGATGAGGTCAATTAATGATTACTCAAAGAAGCATTTCATTGTTTATTTAAATCATCTCATCCAGTATGGATTATGACACTAATGTAGTGGCTCGTCAGGCCCGTGTACTCAGATTTGGGTGCACGTTAAAGAACCCCAGGTGTTCAAAATTTCTGGAGCCCTCCACTACGGCGTCTCTCATAATCAAATAGTGGTTTTGGGACGTTAAACCCCACAAATCAGTCAATTAGTTGCTCGTCATTAAAGGCAAAGCACTATGTGGGAGAGACAGCTGGGGTTGGCTTGTGTTGTGAAAGGGAGAAACTGCAGCACCACCCGAGGCTTTCGAATCCTGCCGTTTGGAAAAATTATTGTATCAGCAAGCTCATTTCACAGTAGTGGACTGATTATTAAGTTATCTCCCTTGGAATGTTTATTGGCCCTATAACTTAAAATTTAGAAATTATGTTAATATTGCTGTGCGATGAGCAGTTTCGTTTTTAATTTTTCGAGTTATGTTTATACTGTCATCTGATAAGCTTTGGATACTAGTATCTTGAAATTTCTAGACGTCATCTATCATTGTCAGCATTAACTGTGTTGCTATCTGGCACCTGCAATCCTATTTGTACACAGAATAAAGCGTTCATCTAGGCTGAAAGCAGCTTTGCATATTTAAAGCTCAGTTTGTCAATTATGCACCATCATGAAACATTGTACATTTTATTTTACGCATCCAAAAGCTGCCAGTTGCACTCTTTGAGTCATAATATTTCACACAATGGTCATCAAGTGTTCAATAAAAAACACGGATACACTAATATACATGCAGAAATGATTAATGACATATATGTGGGCAGTGTGTTCAAAACAAGAAGTACCGTTAAAATGACAGTAATGCATCTTGAAGATCCGATAAATGAAGAAAAGAGTAAAAACCAAAAGACTAATATATGCTATAGAAATTACCAATCAAACTTATTAAAAAGCTGGTAGCACTGGTAAGACCGTGTATCAGTCTGATATGAGACTGGTAGCACTGGTAAGAAAATGTATCAGACTGATATGAATGTCTATAAGAACTGGTAAGACTTTGTATCAGTCTGGTACAAGACTGGTACAACTTATCGGAAACTGTATCAGACTGATTCATACCTCTATCAGAATTTTTGCTAGGGAGCTGCCACCATCTGGATTGTAGGAGCCCTGCCAAAGGCTGCATTGTTCTTCTGCACAGGCTTCCGGCATGCAGCTCCATAAAAGTAAAGCGAGGGCACATAAATGCTTAAATGTGGTAGTGTCAGAGCACATACTCAAATCTGTTGCAGCGAAATTATAAAAAAAAATCACTGCTTTTTTACATAGCCGTTTTAAAAAAAACTTTAAATCGGTCTGATGACATTACATTCTACAGATATTGCTGGTAAATGAAAACTCTTCGTTAGATTAGAGACTTCATAAGATGGTTTTGCTAGATAGAGTTTTATTAGTATTTATTAGTAAAAATTACACATTGGGGAGCCATGAAAATTTTGTAAACGGGGTGTGGGTGCTGGAGACAATGTTTTGACAAGTGGACTTGTCTTTTACAAGGCTTAACAAAATTTTGAGAAATTTCTCCCAATACAAGATCCATATTACTTTATCATTGTGCCTATCCTAAGAAATGAACTTATTTATAATATAGAGGAGCCGAGAAATGTAACTTCATGCTATTTAATATTGAGCACATGCACAAACGAAGACCAAGAGCTCGTATGGTGCACTGACTACTAAGCGGGGACAAATGTGCTAATCTGATAGTGAAGTAAATATCACATCCTTTTGATTAAAAAATAACACGCAGGAAAACTAGTAATAAGACCCAAATGACATTGTACTTCTTAAAGAATGAAATGTCCTTCAATTTTCCATGTGATACTTGATTTAGCAAGACTGAACACATACATGTGCTTGAACGTATACATAAGGTCCGTTCGATTCGCCTGCACCACGTGAACCAGTTCACGAGGTGCTGCACCTTGCCATTCGTTTCAGCGGTGCAGCATTGACGACTGCTGAACCCTGCCATTCGTTTCAAAAGGTGCAGAAGAGGTGCAGCACCGGTTCACGATTTCATTTCATTTTATTACCTTAAAGACCCCATTGAAGGGGTATTACATAAGGGGTGGGTACATATATGAAAACGTGAAAGCCATTTTTTTTTTTTTTACATTGCAAGGTAATTTGTTACGGTGTTCAAAAAGGTGGTAGGACAGGTTATGGCGGTGATTTCGTTAGAAAGGCCGTTCCAGCCCGTAGCTGCACGAAAAAAGAATGAGGACGAAAAAGTGACGGTGCGCGTACGCGGCCGCTCAACTTGTTGCGGGTGACCAGTGCGATGGGAGATGCGTGCCGGAGGAAGAATGTATGGTGGCCTGCCGAGCGAGCTGTAAAAAAACTTGTGAAAAAGGGAAAGACTAGAAATGCGACGACGAGATGCAAGCAATGATAGGCCAGATTCTGTTTTCAGTGCTGATATGCTGACGTCGTAAGAGTACGTAGAATGAATAAATCGTGTGGCTCGATTTTGAAGTGACTCGAGTTGATTGATGAGATATGCTTGATGCGGGCTCCAAATGGCTGATGCGTATTCTATCTTCGTCCTTACGAGAGATTGATAAGCTAGTAATTTGACATTATTAGGAGCGTGACGCAAATGGCGTTTTAAAAACCCGAGTGTTTTGTTGGCAGATGCAATGATGTTCGTAATATGCGTTGCCCAGGTTAAATCACTACAAAGGGTTACTCCGAGATATTTATAGGAAGGAACTAATTCGAGGTTTGTGTCAGCAATTTGGTATGGGAATACTATCAGATTTCGACGGCGGTGAAAGGAAACAGTTTTACATTTGTTAGGGTTGAGTTCCA